TAACAAAAATAAATGGTAGCTACTATAATACTAGTATAATACTAGTTGGCCTCAAAAGTTGTAGTTGGGCTATAACAGTTGTAATTGGTGATTATAATAGTTGTAGTTAGATGCAACAATTACTAGTGGTGGTTGATGACGTTCTTTGAATGTCGGTGGCGAACTCTGGCGATCATCCGCGATCTCAGTGACCGAGAACAACCACTAGATTCCAAGCGTTAAACTTTAGTAGTCGGCTTATTCTTCTAATCAATTCCACTTTCAAATGAAGGATGTACTTCTATTTATAGTTGTTGAGATGGGCATTTCATTAAATTTAGTCAAGATCTCGGGACATTCCATCAGACGATCCACATTCATTCCCTTAATCATAAATAGTTTTTTTTTTAATATTTAAGTGTGTTTTCTTTCTTTTTTTATTTTTTTCTTTGGTTTGGAGTTGTTAGTTTGTCTATCATCGTATATTTTTTTTCTTCTGAGTAAATCACTTTTTTGAATCATATGGATGGTCTGGAGAAGAGGAATCGAAAAATAAAGAACATACAACAAAAGTAGAGAAACAAAAGAAAGAAAATGAAGAACATTCATAAATTAAACTTTGTGTCATAGCCAAAAGTGTGCGTCTAAATCAGGATTGAATCAAAAATGCTTTGGAACATATCCATGAAGAAAACCCTACGAAAGCAGCCCAAAACCAGAGAGTCAAGTGTGTTTGTTTTTTTTGGGGTCAAGAGCAACTCTCAAATGGAGTTATCCCTTTGTTTAATTATATCTTAAGGGATGTCTAAAAATATTCTCGATAAAAGGAATTTTGCTTACATGTAAATGACAACTAGTAAAGAGTGTCACAAAGAACAATTATATCACAGGAGCGTCATGATGCTTGCGAAGATCTCGCTTCGCCTTAGAGCACAAGAAAGCTCTCACATCACAAATGGGTAGCAGCTCATCGACACACGAGACCTATGAAATAATCAGATCAACTCATAAGGTCCACACTATATTTCCAAGGCCTAACCGGACCATAAGAGTAGAGAGTGAATCACCGTATCACAAATGAGCGGTGGTCTATTCGCAATCGGGGCCTACGAGACTACATCGACAAAGCATCAAAGGATCGACAGAGTTTAAAAGGGGTACAACAAAGGAAGAGAAGAGTAATCCTAATCGGGCGGAGATAGTCGGGTCAGGTTATCACGGAACCGTCATCACAAGTTATTAGGATCTCAAACCTACCTAGTAGTGAATATAGTTGACCCAACACAATCAGAGATCCCTTGTCAGCAATCCATAAAGTGTGTCATCCAAGGGAATCTCGGTAGCCCTAAGGTCCAAAGGAGACTAATCCTATGACCCTATGCAGGTAGAAAGAGCAGTGGTGAGACTTATACCTGCCAAAGTAGAGAAGATGTCGCTGGAGTGGAAAGATAAGAGAATAATGGCCACAAAGCCATGACACTCTCACAATTACCTTAAGTGCACTAGAAAATCACCTAAGTAGGATCTATATTAGGCAGTCGGGTTGGAGAAGCACAAACTTTTCCTTGGGACGTGCAATATGATGCGGTTGTCTATTTCTAAGTCTGGAGGCCTTATTAATTATGACTTGGTGATAGTCATGCATGCAGCCTAATTAAAATCCAACCCGAAAGCCATACAGGAAAGTAAAGTGCAGATTTTGAAAATCTTAAAGTATTTTAATCCTAAAATTTAATTAGCCTTAAACTTTTGTTATTATTTTTTTTGTAGAAAGTTTTAATTTTAGGTCCTAAAGAGCCTAAATCATACACATGATTCCCAGACAATTCATTAGGTAAAAAGGGTGAAACCAAGTCAAGCACACTGCAGGAAAGAAAAAAGAAGTCAAATGTAATAAATAAAGTGTTAGTGCAACTGGGTCGGCAACATGTCCTAGAAACAGAAAAATGGCAGCCAGACACCACATATGTACACACCTGGTCCTAATTCTATACATAAATGAGATTTGGAATTAAGATACAAGACACGAGCAAGCCGCTTCTAGTACAAAATTTGTGCCCACTTTATTTCTAAAACAAAATCTCATAAGGACTCTAAAAAGTTTCCCCTAACCCATGTATATTTTTATGAAAACAAATACGTACTCCCTCCAATTCCAAAAAAAAATTATGTGAATTATCTTTTGAGATTTTATTAGCCACCACGATCTAATGGTAGCGTTCAAATTACTCATAATGGCGATGTTTAAGAGGTGGATAACTTGTTCTAATTATAGGCAGCCCTGCACATAATCTTCGAAAGAAAGATTACACTTAATGTGATTGGCTCGGAATACTCCTGGATTTATTTAATATAAATTAATATTTTTGATATTGATTAGTGAAAATAACATCTTTGTTCTATTTGCTATCGTTTCATCCTTCAAGAGATTTTAGCAATTTCCCTAAATATAGGTAAATTGTGCTGGCGGACTGACATAGTTAAATAAGCTTTTTCACTTTTCCCCCCTTTTAAGAACATACGAGTCCCACTTGATACTTCACCATAAAGTAATAAAAGTACATTATGTATGTATGTATGTATGTATGTATGTATGTATGTATGTATGTATGTATGTATATATTTATTTATTTATTTATATATGTGTGTGTGTGTGTGTGCCGCATTCCTTGTAGAGTTGGTAGACAAGGTCACTGTAAGTCCCCTCTGGCAAGAGTTTGATCCCTACCGTGGTTTGTGGGGGGTTGAATTATAGGCACATGACGCGGGCTCTCATCATGAGGCCGGATTGCGCATGGGAAATCGATATTTGGACCTCCGCCAAATATCGATTTCCTTTTAAAGAATATATATATATTATCTTTTTTTTTTGAAACCAATGTTATGCAGCTTAAGCCAAAGCCCATTGTATTGGGTTCGAATTATTTACCATCTTATTTAAATTAAAATATTAAAAAAACAAAAAATAATATGGTTTTTAAAACAAAAGCAAAACTAATAAAAAAATAAAAATAAAATAATCACAAACAATCTCTAAATAACTCGTGGCAGGGTCGTAAATTTATAGAACTAAACATTATTCTCTACCCTGAAGTTAAAGATACAAACATTAGATTCAGTCCATGTTTGATGGCTACAATTTATTTCAGCAAATGAATTCGAGTTCTCCCTCTTTTTAATGAAGTCAATCTCCACCGCCCAAAATGATTTGTAAGGTTACATGGGGTGCAATTAATATGGCATGTGGAGAGGACCAAATCACTAGTCTTACATATTCTAATAACAAAATATTATGTCATAAAAAGCAAAGTTTAGGTGTTAGACATCATTTAGTTCGTCTATAAACATTAATATATATATATATATATATAT